GCTAGTGTACCATATTCATGTCTCACTTCTACTATGTTTGGCTCAAGGCAAAGCAGGTGTGATAGTCGGTAACTGTCGGCCGTTCGCCTGTAACTACAATCCGAGGCACGCAGTCCACATATCAAACGGTTCAAACACAATTTTTTGAGTCGCTTGACCTAAGCAGGCTTTTAACCCAAGTGATTGCTGAACCTGTGTCGCGGAATGAGGTTGTGATGAGAGCAGCTGATGATATAGGTAGCAACGAAATGGCTCGGACTTCGGATTTTCCACGACATTGGGAATCACACAGCACTGGTTCAAAGACAGTTTTCAGCACAAAATTTGTTAGGCAAGACAAATGGCACGTTTAGCAATGAGGTTGGCCGAGTGCGAGCAGCACGCAGGCTGTCACCACTGAACTCTTGATCATTCTGCTGGTTGGTCCACTTGGCTTCCCGTGCGATGTTGTAATGCTGGGAAAGCTTCCGAATGCATGCCTTTGGGAAGTTGGTATCTTGCACATGCGACACGTGACACTCAGAACTATTTGCTGCCACCTTTTGGCCAAAAACATGCAAGAAATGCATGCATGTGAGACTACAATGCCCAGATTGCAGATACATTAAGTGTTCGGCCTAGTTGCGGGACTGTGTTGTTCTGAGATCCCAACATGCCCTCCCAAGGAGGTACCCAAAGATTGGAAAACCCCGGTTGCGACCTGCTGTCATTCTCAGTCACTTTGCCACGGTGCACCTTCTCCAGCAGGTCAAAATTGTTCAAGCAGACCCGAAAAGAAGGGTTACTCCAGGAAAGAGAGGAAACTGTGAAGCGAGGCACATGCTGGTTTTTTGCAGTCAGCATGCTGACCAGTGGAAAAAAACCACAAACCAATGTTCGGTGGAGGTGGTTGTGCCCACATAAGCAACCAGCCATCCAAACGAAAACTGAAGCCAACATCAAATACGATGTTCGAACAAAGGTGGAGGCGTGCTTTGCTTCAATCTGTCGCATCCGTCCCACGCTTTGCAGTGTGTGACAACATAGCGTGGGAATAGGCAACGCGACTATTTCGAGGTGGACCAATTCAAAATCCCGGTTTAGACCTTAGGTGTGGTTAACTGATCATCGCCGCACGAAGAAATACCCTGCTTGCTCCCCTGATGAAGGTGTGTCCATGCAGGCAATACATGCATGCATACTTCAAGGCACATCCCACTTCATGTCAAACGATTACTGTAAAACCGTCATGTCCGTGCCGTTCCTTTGAACAGGTCAATTTACAAAACCAACTTTACACAGAACAAACCTGAGGGGGCCTAAAAGTTGGGAGACCGTCAAAGTGCAGAAACGGCTAGTGACCTTCCTTCCCCCGCCCGCAGCCCACCAAGCCTTCGACGATCAACCATGCCGGCGCTGCACATGCGACCCGAACTGCAAGGGACACTTTTTGCATTGGACAATTGTGCCCCCCGGACGGATGTTGAACGCATTGAACGCGAGCTCCTTTTTCCGACCCTCTTGGTTCGTCCACGCCAGCCTCCCCACCTGGCGCCGAAATCATGCCACACCAGTCGAACACCCACGGAGTCCATAGACAGGTGCAGTGACCGAATTGTGTGCAACAAAATATGTCTGTGCAGATGGTCGTGCTGGGGTGCTGAAATGGAGGGTGTTCATGTTGGTGTGTGGTGTACGACTGCAAGATTTCCATTGTATGCAACCCTTCATGAACTTTGCTTGAACGTCGGCCCTACTTGGAAAAACTTACATATATATATATATATGTGTGTATATCAGTTGTGTTTGTTGTGTTTGGCTTCCCGTGGTTGCGTGATTAGAGCAGTGCCCACTTTTAAGGCGGTCAGTGGTGTTCAACCGTGGTCACATTTTTTTGGCATCCGTCAAGTGCAGTGCACCGGCGATAACTGGCTGGAAAATTTGGATGTTGTTGCCCAGATTTTGCCTGCTGGGTTCTTCATGTTGAATTTTTGGAGCAAAGGCGTCCACATCCCAGGGTTTGGTTTCCCGATAAGAAATTGTCTTCCGCGAATTGGTGCGTGGTCTGCTTCAATTTTTGCTGTGGACAGCTCATATGATTCCCTTGGGCCTTTCTACTGCGGCTTCATCACCTGCAGTGCACTGAAGCCACTGGCTGTGTGAATAGACTTGTGGTTTCAACCGGAAGAACGGCCGATTACCGCTGATTGCGCCACATGATGCGTTGAACTGTGAGAGGGCGAGAGGTTCCCAGGCAGTTGGACCCAGCAGTCTGTCCATATGTCATTGTTTTCAACACCCTCCATGGCAACCTTGCGCCTGCTGTTTTCAATCGCCGCGGTGGTTCGATTTCTTACTCGTACACGTTCAGACAGATGCGCGTGTCAGATGTCGTGGTTACTTTTCTACTACAGTTGGTGGCAAAATTGTCCCACAAGGCTGGGAAACCTGACGCTCAAATTGCCAGAGCTTCGCCTGCCCACAGGGTACATGGCAGTTGCTTGCGCGGGCGTTGTTGGGGTTCTTGTCGATACGGGAGGAGGACATCAATGTGCATTTTGTGGCAGTGTGCATCTGGACACGCATAAGCATAATGTAGAGAATGTGTGGAGAAGGCTCCTGCGAAAACCCGCGCAACAATTTTTTAATGGCCATGGCCGTTGTTCCCCAGATAGCGACAGCTATGGGGTTCTTACTTCAAACAATGAACTGGCCATGCGCGTTTTCGAGACAGGGTGCTCATCCTGGGTGCCGATGCCGGGTGGTGGTGCTGGTTGTGGTGCTGGTGCTGAGTGCTGTGAGCTGGCTGTGCGCGTGGTGGAGACCGGGTGCCGGCTGCGCGCGTGGTGGAAACAGGGTGCCGGTGCTGGGTGCTGGTGCCTGGCTGTGCGCGTGGCGGGGACACGGTGCCAGTGTTGGGCCTGCGCGTGGTGGAAGCAGGGTGTTTGGAAAGCTGGCGGTGCGGGGCAGTTGAGTTTTGGAACTAACATGGTTGCGCACGCTCTCATTCCAAAGCTGTGGATGTGGTTGATGGAGCTTTGTGTGAACATCCGTATGCCTTAGTGAATGGGTGCCAACTGCCGCTTGGGACAGTGAAGTGTGAAAAATTGCCGCTTCTGACAATGAAGGGTGGCCAACCGCCGCGTATTGACAGTGAAGGGTCGCCAACCGCTGCCTCTGACATTGAAGTGGTGCCAACCGCCGCTTCTGACAGTGAAGGGTGGCAAGCCGCCGCTTGCAGCAGTGAAGTGCCAGCAGTCATGGGCCGCATAAACTAACACGCAACATACGGTGTTGTCACTTGAGCGATCATTGTCTATTGGCGCTGGGGTCTGTTTTGGCCGACGGCTGCTTCAATGGCTGTACTGTACTAGCCCTGTTTGCGCCGTTTGCGCGCATGGTTTTGTACGCATAGAGCTACATGCGCAGCGTCAGGTTTTCAAGCGACCATTGTTTCAGCATGGTACAAACTCAATAGTGGTTCTGGATACTGCTTTGGCTTGGGCGAGTGAAACCTACGGGCTTTACTTTTTGTGCACGTCCTTATGTGCTCATAGACTTATACACGCACAGGATCACACGGTGTCTCATTCTACAGATCGTTGCTTTAAACATGCTACAAAGTCAATGGTGGCGCTGGATACTGCAGCTGCAGTGACAGTTTTGACTTTACTGTTTGCGCGCACATTTTGGTGCCCTTAGGCTTACACAGCCACATGTTAACAGGCCTAGCTATCTGGGGCCTATGCTGAGGCAATTGCGTTTTTCCGTGGACAATAAATTTCAGGGGTTCTTCTCAATGGTGTGGCTCTGGATCGGTGTTTCGTTTTGCCCGTGCGGTCGGCGTTTTCTTGGGGTGTGCTGGTGCGGGTGCTGGTGCTGGTGCAGTTGCAGCTGTTGTTGCTGGATGGGCATTATGTGTGGGGTGCTGGCCCGGGACAAGATCATATTTTGTCTGGCAACTTGATGCATGCATTTCCTCTTGGCATGCATTTGCTATCTAGCCTATGCTGGCATAGTTGGTTTTGTTGCGTTGCTTTCCCGTCACATAGCTGCAAGTTTTAGGCCCTATGGTCTGTGCTTGGGAGGCTATTCGCTCCAATTGTGTTGCTCGGGCGCACAGGCATGTTTCCTCGCCAGAGCAGTAGTGCGAGCCATGTATAGAGAAAACTTTGCCATGTATAATAAATTCGTTGAGGGGGAGGCGGCTGGGGGAGAATGGGCTCCGCCCGCAGGAGGGCAGTGGGCTGTGAGGGGGCCCACCAGGGAAGCCCCAGCAAGGTGGATCCCACCGCCCGCACTTCGGCTTGCTCGTACGTGTAGATGTTGCACCCACAGCACTTTGTTGTTTTGTATCGTTTGTATGCACATGTTTTTCACGCGCAAGATCACATTGTTGTCATCGGATCAACACACAATGTCTCAGTATCTTCAACTATTTTATGTCCAGGCCCCGGTTTTTCTTAAAACTGTTTTCGCGAGCCGGCATGCTTCCGGGCGAAACTGCTTTATGCCACCCCTGTGCTGCAAACGGGCCTGCCTCTGGTGACCATCACGACAAATGTGCTTAGTTTGCATGGGGGTTAGCCTGGGCCACGCTTTTGGCAAATGCAGTTGCCCGCACGCCACACCCCCAACAGCAGAGGGCAATTCCAAACCACTTTGCTTTCCACCCAGCTGTGCGAAACATAGTCACAGCATTTTTCCCCATCAGTTGGGTCAACTGGCGGGAGCGCGTTCTGTTTGTTGATGGTGCCAGCTGAAACACCAAAATTTTGCCGAAACCGACCTCCAAAGATTGGATCTATGCGGCCTTCTGCTCCAAGGGCTTTGTTGGAAACGTTGCCACATGCACATGGAAATTACACTAGTGTTTTTTTTCCTTAGGCGCAACTAATGGTGTCACCTTGCAAGTCACAGTGGCCAACGAAAGGGCAAATTCAAGATCAAGTTCAAAGCAAAAACCAAGAGGTGTTCCTATAAGGAATGCAGCCTCCTCCTTCACAATTTGCAGGCGCTTTTGCGCAGTTGTACGTTTGTTCGCGCCATGTCGGAGCGTGGCCGCAGCAGCCGCGATGGCCGCGACAATCGTGACCGTCGCGATGGCGGTTGGACTTGGGGCCTTATATCCAAGACGGTGTCAGGACTTTGAACGTTTTTGTTTTTTTAGAGAGAGCGATTGGGTGGTGGCAGCCCGGACGGGAATCAGGCCTTGCTCCACCACAGACCTGTTTCGAACAAGATGCAGCCGCACTTCGGAAAAAATACGTGGCATTGTTTCTAGCGCGAGCCGAAAGACAAAGAGGTTGGCAAAACAAACGTATTTCCCCGGCAAAAGACCCCAAACAGTTGGAAGAAACATCAAAGAACACCTGCAGCCAGAAGGCCGGACCCATTTACTTGAAGGAGCGTAGTGAAACCAAGTAACATTTTCTCCACATCGGCAACCCCAGAGGACCTGTGCCATCGTGAAGTTCAGCAGGAGGTGGTCAAAGTGTTTCCACCGCACGAAACCACACAAGGCACTCACAGAAGAACGCAAGATACACACATAGGAGAGCACGAATGCACAAAATTTGGGATATGAGAGTGCGCAGATGAAGAGCACGCGAAAGATTAAAAAAAAAACAAGATGGAGCCCACGAACCCGAATGCAAACACGATCGAAAAACTAATATGTCCAAAGGACACTCTTGTAGGACACTCTTGCGGGACACTCTGTAGGACACTCTTGTGGGCCACTCTTGTAGGAAACTCTTGTGGGACACTCTTGTAGGACACTCTTGTGGGACACTCTTGTGGGACACTCTTGTAGGACACTCCTGTACGACACTCTTGTAGGACACTCTTGTGGGACACTCTGCGGGACACTCTTGTGGGACACTCTTGTGGGACACTCTTGTGGGACACTTTTGTGGGACACTCTTGTAGGACACTCTTGTGGGACACTCTTGTGAGACACTCTTGTAGAACACTCTGGTGGGTCACTTGCAGGACACTCTTGTGGGACACTCTTGTAGGACACTCTTGTAGGACACTCTTGTGGGACACTCTTGTAGGACACTCTTGTAGGACACTCTTGTGGGACACTCTTGTGGGACACTCTTATAGGACACTCTTGTGGGACACTCTTGTGGGACACTCTTGTAGGACACTTCTGTACGACACTCTTGTAGGACACTCTTGTGGGACACTCTGCGGGACACTCTTGTGGGACACTCTTGTGGGACACTCTTCTAGGACACTCTTGTGGGACGGACACTTTTGTGGGACACTCTTGTAGGACACTCTTGTGGGACACTCTTGTGGGACACTCTTGTGGGACACTCTTGTGGGACACCTTGTGAGACACTCTTGTGGGACACTCTTGTGGGTCACTTGCACTCTTGTGGGACACTCTTGTGGCACACTCTTGTAGGACACTCTTGTAGGACACTCTTGTGGGTCACTCTTGTAGGAAACTCTTGTGGGACACTCATGTAGGACACTCTTGTGGGTCACTTGCAGGACACTCTTGTGGGACACTCTTGTAGGACACTCTTGTGGGACACTCTTGTGGCACACTCTTGTAGGACACTCTTGTGGGACACTCTTGTGGGTCACTCTTGTAGGACACTCTTGTAGGACACTCTTGTGGGTCACTCTTGTAGGAAAATCTTGTGGGACACTCTAGAGTGTCTGCGAAGAGTGTCCCACAAGAGTGTCCTACAAGAGTGTCCCACAAGAGTGACCCACAAGAGTGTCCTACAAGAGTGTCCTACAAGAATGTCCCTTAAAAGTGTCCCACAAGAGTGTCCCACAAGAGTGTCCCACAAGAGTGTCCTACAAGAGTGTCGTGTAAGAGTGTCCCACAAGAGTGTCCTGCAAGTGACCCACAAGAGTGTTCTACAAGAGTGTCCGACAAGAGTGTCCCACAACAGTGTCTATAAGAGTGTCCCACAAGATTTTCCACAAGAGTGTCCCACAACAATGTCCTACAAGAGTGTCGTGTAAGAGTGTCCCACAAGAGTGTCCTGCAAGTGACCCACAAGAGTGTTCTACAAGAGTGTCCGACAAGAGTGTCCCACAACAGTGTCCTATAAGAGTGTCCCACAAGATTTTCCTACAAGAGTGACCCACAAGAGTGTCCTACAAGAGCGTCCCACAAGAGCGTCCTGCAAGTGACCCACAAGAGTGTTCGACAAGAGTGTCCGACAGAGTGTCCTGCAAGTGACACTCTTGTAGGCGTCAAGTCTCCAAAACAAGCATTTCGTGTGAGACTTCCTCCACAAGTCACACGTGAATTCTCCAAAACGAGCCTTTCGTACGACACTTCCTCAAAAACTCACACATCAAGTCTCCACAACGAGCGTTTCGTACGAGACTTGCTCCAAAAGTCACACGTCCAGTCTCCAAAACGAGCGTTTCGTGTGAGACTTCCTCAAAACGAACACACTCCCATCCACCACAATCGCCATTTCAGCTGAGACTTGTCACGAAAACAGAGCTTCGATGC